ACCCGTACCCAGGGGGTTTCCTAGTTATGGTTCTGATAACTGCCATGTGTATGTAGTATGCTCCGTCACTATCAAGGTTATTAAACCAAGTTCCAAGATAAACATGACTCGTTTATGAGAACATCAAACAATGTCCAAGGACGTTTGGATTATTTTGATATGTGTTATCAAAGAAATCTGCTGGATTCTCCTCGTCAGCTGTTTAACGTGTATATAAAGACGGGAACAGAGCGAGACGTGTCACACTTCTCTGTCTGAACAGCGATATTTCAGAATGAGGAAAGCTGCAGTTTTGCTGCTCTGTCTGCTCTGGACGGGGGCTCAGGGTGAGGATGGAGCTCAGAGAGAGAATGCAGGTAAGCTATCTGATTTGAACTCTTTAGTGTGGTAGAAAACAGGTGTCAAACTTTCTAATATGTGATGACGGAAACTGAAATAAACTGAGGATAAAAACTATATTTTACTATAAAGATTTTAAACTTGTTCAGCTCTAGAGAACAGGATGAGCTCCAGTGAAAAGCAGGTGGTGGAGCTCCAGACACAGAACTCAGGTAAGAAACAGAAACTATTATGAAGAGTCAAAGTATTGTATAAGAATAGAACTGGTATACTGATATACCAGCAAATATCAAACTCTGCTGCATCCTCCTCTTTCTCACAGCCGGTCCTCAGGTGGCGTTCTCAGTCGGTCTCAGTGATGCAGGAGTAGTCGGACCCTTCGGCACTAACAGTATACTGAAGTACAGTAAAGTCTTCACCAATATCGGCCTGGCCTACAGCGCAACTACAGGTACTGAGCACACACACACACACACACACACACACACACACACACACACACACACACACACACACACACACACACACACACACACACACCACACACCCACACACACACATTCATTTACAGTAGATGTGTGACTGTAAGCTTTCTTAAGACTTTTCTTAATGAAACCATTAAAACATCTCTTAGTTTTCCTACAGTTGATCTTGGTAGAAAAGAACAAAGTCAAGAGCTCCTACATGCTCCTTATTTTAAACACATCCTTAAGTCCTGCTGAAGCAGCAGAAACAATCTCCCCTCACTGATCTTCTCCTCTGATGCAGGTATCTTCACAGCTCCCGTCAAAGGAGTCTACTACTTCAGATTCAACATGTGGGGAAGCCGCTTTGTATCAGACACCGCTCTTGAATTCGCTCTCAACAACGTGATGAAGATGAGGCTTCAAGATTACAATGATGCCTATGGCTATGTCTCTGCGTCTAACTCAATTGTTCTTCAGCTGGAGAAGGGAGATGTTGTCAACATCGTTCTGCCCTCCAGCTACACCGGTTTATGATGATTTGTTTAATCGCATGATTTTCAGTGGATTTCTACTCTTTCCTGTGTGAAGCCCACTGTAAAACACCCACTGCATTAAGTTTCAACATTACATATTAATAAATAAGTGTGTTGACTCAACTTATATAATTGTTTGTATTTATTTTTGATTGGTTACATGAACAAGAGGCATTCATTACCATAACAACGTTTTCTACGGACAATATAAGACAAACACTTTAGCAGTACTGTTGTTGTCCAAACCCCCTAAACCGAGACCAAGTCAAGACCAAAGAGCCCTCTACAGTCTGTGCCCTGACTACAGAAGTGAGAGACTCACACTGCATGACACAGATATGAAAAATATAACATTAAAAACAGAGACACTCCTCAAAATGATCTGTCATATCCACAATCCCAGAAAAACTCAAATGTCTTTTATGGCCTCTTTGTCAGAGACAGAAACTCATTAAAATGAGGTTGATTCTGAGACCAGGGTTGCGGTCGAACAGTCCATTTAGCTTAGGAACCTTCCTAACGGAGTGAAATGACCCGGAAGTCCCTCAGTGGCAGCCATGATAAGTGCCGTTCGAATTCTCTAAATTAAAAGGAAAGGAGGTTTCAAACTTCCTTTATAACCTCCTTTAGCTTAGGAACCACTGGACCTCCCTAACCGAAAGGAGAGGAGAAAATGCTGCCCCACAATGCCTTGCGGCCGCGGCATTTGCCATCACACAACAGTCGGCCGTTCACGGAAACAATCGATTATGAACGAGAAATGATATCATGAAAGTTGCGGTTCAAAACGTATGTGGTAAGTTGCCAAAGTGCTTTGTTTTGAACGTTCATCAGTATTATAATCAAAAAGAGAAATATGAACGTTAGTTTTTACTGAAATGAAATCAAATAAAGTCAACATTTCACAGTCTTTACTAAGCTGTGTGGGGTTTGTTCAACTTTTAAAAAGATGTTTGAATGGTGATATACACAGTGATAGATGTTAAGGACTAACGTTTATAATAAATACATTTGTATTGCTTTTAATATCTTTTCATAGTTACAATACAATCATACGTATTGGGATCATTTGTATTAATGTGGACAGGAGGGAGAGGGTGACGAGCATAAGTTTCACTTTCCTTTTTTATTTCAATTCCAACTTTGGTCATGAAGAATATGTTTCTCTGTTGTCCCCGTTCATAAAGCATAAAACAACAGCATCAGAGCACGGTGCAGAGTTTACAGTAGTCCCTCGTTCTTATTAAACATCCCTGTTGTAGTCCGCTGTATATAAAACTGTAGTTTCCATAGTTTCCCCACCGCAGCAGGCGCACATTTATGACCTCCGCTGGCGCATCATAAACACGTCGGATAGTGAAAGTGCAGTCGGATTCTCTAAAGTACCGCAGTCTCTTCTCCTAAATCCTTTTGAATTCTCCTATCCACTATCCCTTAACCCCATGACGTTTCACTCCGAGGTCAAGGAATAGACGATAGGGTTAGAACTTAGGAGCTGTTTTTTTGGAGTATTCGACCGCAACCCGGGGCTGCAGTCGAATTGTCAGTTTCTCTTAGGAACCTTCCTAACGGATTGAAATGACCCGGAAGTACTTCAGTGGCAGCCATGATAAGAGCTGTTCAAATTCTCTAGATGAAAGGAAAGGAGGTTTCAAACTTCCTTTATAACCTCCTTTAGGAAACACTGGATCTTCCTTTGCGAAAGAAAATGAGAAAATGCTGCCCCACAATGCCTTGCAGCCGCAGCATTTAACATGAGGGGATATTCGGCCGTTCACGGAAACAACCGATTATGACCGAGAAATGATATCATGAAAGTTACGGTGCTTATTAAGCATTTTAAAAGTGGTAAGTTGCCAAAGTGCTTTGTTTTGAACGTTCATCAGTATTATAATCAAAAAGAGAAATATAAACGTTAGTTTTTACTGAAATGATCAAATAAAGTCAACATTTCACAGTGTTTACTGAGCTGTGTGGGGTTTGTTCAACTTTTAAAACATGTTTAATGGTGATATACACAGTGATAGATGTTAAGGACCAACGTTTATAATAAATACATTTGTAATTATTTTAAGATCTTTTCATACAATCATACGTATTGGGATCATTTGTATTAATGTGGACCGGAGGGAAGGGTGACGAGCTGTAGTTTCCCTACAGCAGACGCATATTTGTGACGTCCGCTGGCGCATCATAAATACGTCGATAGTGAAAGTGCAGTCGGATTCTCAAAGCACCGCAGTCTCTTCTCCTAAGTCCTTTTGAAGTCTCCTATCCACTATCCCTTAACCCTGTGACGTTTCACACAGAGGTTAAGGAATAGACGATAGGAGCTGATTTTTGGACTATTCGACTTCAGCCATGGTCTTCAGGACTTTTTAATAAACTTTAAACTAATTTTATTTTTGGGAAAATGTCACATTCACAAGAAGAACTGGACTGAGTTTTAATGCATTACTATTACATATACAAAATAAAAAGGCAATACAAACCAAGTGTGTATTTGATAAATATTTTACTTGAAATGTAACCTGTTTTATTTCTTTACTTTATTATATTTGTTTAACTCTGTATATGTACCCCTGATGTCAATATGTTGTGTTTATATAATGTTAGATAACTAGCATTTGGAAACTAACATCCATATTCCCTTAAACTTATATACTCTCAAATTAAGCACATTTTTGCAAATAAAGCCCCCAACTATTTTCACATGCTACTTCCATAAAAACTCCACTTAATGTTCCTGAAATTAATGAGATGTGCCAAATATCTCTATACCAGTGGCGAGCCGTCAGGGCCCTCTAGGCCCTCTGTGAGGGCCTAAGATATTCCAAAAAATATATTTAAAAACATTAAAAAAAGATTTTTTAAATATATATTTTTTTTAATATTATTTTTGTTATATTTTTCATTAGTTTTTTACCGAAAAAAAAACTTGATTTAATAAATAAACATTTCCAATAAATAAATCCTTCGAATCTGCCTGTTCAGTCTCTGTTTGAATGGTGGTTACATGAAAGAAGCTCATCTGCGCTCTCTGCGATTCACAGAGGGCCCGCTATAGTAACTGAACGAGAGAGTAATGTCAGATGACAGTTCAATTGACCAATCATATCTTCCCTCTAAATGGGGTGGGTTTTATTATCGCGGACTAGATGACAAGTTCCGCCCGCTGTGAAACTTTCTTGTTTCCACAGCAATAACAACTTCCTGTCAACAGCGTGAACTCGCCTTCAAAATAAAAGCATGCCAAATTACACTTAGACATACAACTGCCACGAAAGTAACAAACACAATGGCAATATCATTTTCAATGTCAAAGAACACAAATTGGGTTCATAGGTGTTGTTTTGTATGGTAGAGGGTCGCTGTCATTGATGCGTTTTGCCACCCTGGGCCGTTGTTTTGATATTCCGCCTGAAGTATACGCGGTGACGTAATAACTATTTTTTTTTCTTTTTTTTTCGAGGGAAGGGGTGGGGGTCCGAGGGCCTAGGTATAAAGCTCACGGCTCGCCACTGCTCTATACTGTATATAACTAGAACTGATTTGACAAATTGAATGTATTTTTCTTAAGCAACCTGTTTTATTTATATATTTATGTCTGTTATTGGTTTATTATTTTGATATTTGAATAAAACAAGTATAAAAATAGGTCTTAAGTTCATATATATAGTAAGACACCAATGACTAATGAAAACAGATATAGGCAAATGTGATGCTAAAATACATGCATGCATTGACAGGTTGCACGGAAATTAAGGTGAATGATCTCTTTGTTTAAACTAGTGACCCAGGTAACAGTATTTGCAGTAAACATGCTGGTCACATACAGTTGTTAATCTTAACAGAACAGAAAATACAGACCTTGTAGATCTTGTTGTCTTGTAATACGTGCAGATTTTCAGCCACATCTCCATCACTTATTGATCTGGCTCTACCCTGCCAGGCTCCTCGTGGACCAGCACCTCAACCACCATCTCAGTCCTGTGGGGCCTGAGTTTTTATTCATTGATTTCTGTCCATGGCTCACTTTGCTTCTCCAGAACATCTTCTGTCCAAACCCTGATGAGCGTCTCTGGGCGGGACGTGTAGTTCTGTGTCTTTAAATAAGTCTGGAGCTCTTGGTCTTTTGGGTTTTTCTCCGGCTCTTGTTCCTGGTTGTTGTGAATTATCCAATCCCACAACAACGTCAGAGAAGGGACAGCCTCCCCTTTGGTTTCTCTGCTGCAGAAACTGCATGTCCTCTAGTTGATACGGAGCCCCCAGGGGACATGGAGAAGAAAAAGAAATTATTTGAAAAATAAAAAGGTTTTGCAAGATCTCGCAATACTTTTCATTTAGCTCAATGTACTTCCTGGGGCCTCATTTATAATTGCGTAGGATTCACGTGGGAAGGTTGCTTACGTAGGACAAAGCAAATAAATACGCACAGACATTTTCTG